GCACAATGCTATTGCACAGCTGAAACGAAAAAGTTGATGCAGTTGAGCAGTACTTCAGCCACTAAAAAAAAAATACAGATACCCCGAAATTTTTTATACAAACACTTAGAAAAGAAGTAAAATGCTATTAAAAAAAAAAAAAAAAAAAACATTTGAAGTCACTAGGAAATATCAACGCACTGCAACAAGGTAGGGAAGAGGGATGTAAGCACAATCGACAATTTCAGTTCAATTTGGAAAATTGTGAGTATGCAGAAGTCCAAATCTAAAAACCTAAAATTCGATGACTTATTTTGAGCATTTGTACAGGCTTATGAACCAAATTTAATAAAAGTGTTCCTTTCTGAGCTTTGAAAAAAAGCTTATTTCGAAAGTCCAAAGAATGGTTTTCATTCGTAATGTGGTAGGAGGAAGTTTCCCCCAAAAGCATAAGTAATCAGTTCACTTATATACAACTATACATTGAATTAGCAAAATCAATGGAAAATTCTGGAAGCATTTTTTTCATGGTTTCAAACGACTTCGTTTCAGGAGCGCCTCGATTGCTCGTGCTCTCAGCTTCAGCTCAAGCATATCTAATTTCCTCTCATCTCGCAATTGATCGGCCGCTACGCTTGCTGAATTCCTGATAATAAAAAAAAAAAACATTAATTTTTGGGACTAACGATTGTTTCACTGGTAGTCATATTACGGAATTTCATAAATTTCAGAAAACAAATAAAATTAGCAGCGGTGCGATCATGCGTTTCTGCATGATTCTGTTCTGAATAGAGGCAACGCTTGTATTGACTGCGTAACTGCGATGTTATAATTCAGACATTTGATCTGCCTGTACGTAAAGCAAATGCCTCAACAGAAGCTTATTTACGCTTGCTGGTCCGCACACGAACAGCAAACATCTTCAGAAAAATACTGCTTCCTGCTCAGTTTGGAAAACGAGTTAACTGAGGTTAATTGAAGTATTCCAAACTAAATACTTTTTTGCGTGGATACGAGATCTAGGCGAGTCTTAAAGCTAATCTAAAATATTTGGGATATTTAAAGACAAATTTTGAGATACAGGAAAAAAAGCTTTTCTATCATCGTATGATTTTGAGTTATTCCGCAAATGGACTTGGAAAATCCTCAAAAAAATGCCAACTTCTAGCCTGTGCGATTGCTGAATTGAATGTGGATGATGAAAATCCAAACATACACAAACACACACACACACACATACACAAACATACATACACATACACAAACACACACACATACACACACAAACACATACACACAAACATACGCACACAAACATACACACCTACAACTTATTGCCAATGTGCATTTTGCATTTGCATAAATGTGCAAAAACGCATAATTCAGAAATTCCGAAAAATTCACCGAAGAAGTGTTGCAAAATCTAGCACGTTTTTTCGCTCTGGTACTGGCGAACGGCTGCAGCGCACAGTTCTTCCATTTTTTGTTTCATCACAGGAAATTTGTTTTTTCTGAAAAAAAAACTTGCAAATTTAATAAGCCAAGTTTCATTTCATCTGTATGATATAGCAAACCTAATAAATAATTGAAAAAAAACATGCAAATTTAAAAAAAACTTGCGGATTTATTAAATCCCATCAAAAATTTTTATTTTTATTTTTACTTTTATCTTTTTTCCGATCTTTTCCAATAACCATAAAATATCTAAAATTTTTTTTAAATCTCACTATCCCAAATGGCAAACAACGTCCTCATCAAAAGCTCAGAAACAAATTTGTGCCAGTTCGGAACGGAAAACAATTATTCCTCTCTCTCAAAAAAAAGATGTCGGAAATCTCTTGACACTTGTACGGTGCATTATCCACCGGAACAGGCAACACGTCTTTCCGGGACAATATGGCACTCACTTTGATCGATCAATCGTTTGCACTCAATTGTTCGCCCTTGATAGCGGTGCCTTGAGGAACTGAACCCACTGCGGCAATTTTTGGACTCAACAGAGCTGCACCACTAAGCCAATTGACTAACTGGATACACGAACCCATAATCTTATGTATTTCCTCATACCAGAAACCGGAAAGGAAAATGACGCGCGGCTCTATTTGCTCCTTCCTCACCTTCTACTCGCAGAGCCAAAAATACCTTCGAAATGATTGTTTTAACCTAGAAAAACACTCTGGATCTTCATACAAGAAGGTCCAATTGTGGTAACGGTAAGAAATGTATACGACTTAATGGACCGAAATATTTCTTACCTATTACAAATATTTCTACAGACACCTTCCTCATTTTACTATCCTTTTCTTTCTCTCCTTTGTTTTCTTCTTTTCTTGATATCTTCTTTTCAATCTTTAATGAAAATACCTACCTCAAATCCTTCAGCGCTTTCATAAAATT